ACCTGGTGAATAAGCAGGGAATTAATTGAAACGACTCCGCAAACCGGCCACCGCTTCTTCATGCCAGTTATATTGAGGAAATGTTTGTTTGCTGGTCTACTATATTTAAAAAAATGACTCAACTTAGAACTTTAGCCCTCACAGAACAATTTGAAACCAACAGAATACACGTCGCTTTCACGGAAGTGTTTACTACACATGCGAGAGATTCTCGAAGTTTGCTTTTCTATTTTCAGTTTGATGAGACATTCCTTTCTCAGTTTTATTTTGTCGGAATCATGATAAACAAAATACCCCTTATACGCCGTGTTAAATGCTGTGGTGTGGTAAAGTGCTGAATACTCTATTTTCATCATTGTCCTTCGAAGCCATACTGCTTCGAAGCCATTCTGCTTCGAAGCGGCCTCTGGGTCCACATATCGGCGGATCGCGAATGCAGCCCCCACGGGAGGTCGCCTCGGAAGCGATGCCGGTAAAGGCCCTTGATACTTCCTTTACAAGTAACGACAACCACTACAACTGACAAAGCACATTCCGCTGGAACAAAATGGCGGCATTCGGTTCAAACCTTTTCTGTGCGCCACCATTCGCTTCCTAAAACCTGCACCGTCACGCAGCTGGCGCTTAAAAAAATGTCGCTGCTTGTAGAAAGCTCTGATCTGGGGACTTTAGATGCCGGCCCATCGAATGGGAACCGCGAATCGTCTGAAATCTCGTGCTGAAAAGCTTATAACATTTGCTGGTCATCGCTTGACTAAGACAATTAAGCTCGATGAATCATAGTTCGTTATTTTACACGGGCGATCATAACGGTCTTCTGGTTGACGCTGGGCGAAACAGGCTGAAGCTCCCCACGTGCTGAAGTTCATACATCTGACGTCACAACAAGATGGCGGACCAGTAAAGTTGCACGTTAGCTTCGGTTTCCGTTATGCCGTTTTTCCACGATTAAAACTTATATTTTTAGGTGGCAATTTAATTACTGCCCTAAACTCAGTTTCTTATGCTCTTTCAGAAAATGTGTTTAGTAGGTATTGATGCTTTTCATTGCTAGTGAACCTCATTGCTATTAAAGCTTTTCATTGCTTGTGAACATCATTGCTATTGAAGCAACCGAACTTTTAATAGCAACAGGGTCCACTTGCAGTACCTCAACCGCTGCGTCGACTGCGTCAGCAGAAAGTAGAATTCAAAAACTCCTTGATTTTTTCTTCTTTTTTTGTGAAACGCCATGCAAACGTGAAATGTTTCTTACTCCGGGGCCAGAAGCATGAAAATCTACTGCGGTTTTTTTCAAGTGTCCACAATAGGGCACGTGTAAGAAAAAGACGCATGTGGTCAGTGGCGTACCAACTCGTTTTTGAGTGGGGAGGCAAACCAAGCCTACACCCGCCCCCCCCCCCCCCCCCCCCCCCCCCCCCACCCCCGTGGACCGGGGGGAGGTGCCCTTGGTATCCTTTGGGCTACGCCGGCCAGTGTTTGTCCTGCCCAGAGGCGGCTGTCTCGGGGGGGAGGGCAAGCGTTGCCCCCCCCCCCCCCCCCCCCCCCCCCGGGTTGGTACGCCCATGCATGATTTTGTGTTAGCCAAGGAAGCGCCGTTGCGTCTAGGTTTGCTTGCTTTACTTTTATTTTTTATGAAGAACAATGAAAATCTTTTGCACAAACCACGCTGCCGGCGCACTCGTGTCGTTGGCTTTTGGGTGATAGATTAAAGTCAATCGCGCACCCCTTGGTCGCTTCCCAAGTACCCCTTACGCGCAAACATCACATTATTTCAGTCGCAAGTAGACCACTACAAATATCTGCGAGAATGTAAGCCCTCTAAGGACTTTATATCCAAGGGTATAGCAGGTGACAGATTGAGAGTGAAGTGGAACTTCCTCCCAAATCTTTCCATTTCAACAGAGCGAACGCTGTAGAAGAAGCAGCCTTCTATCCAGCGTTCGCTCTGCTAAAGTGGAATGAGGTGGGAAGGAGTTTTTACTTTACTCTTAACGATGTCACCAGCTATAGCAGGCAATGAATGCTGTAGTAATTCGTTGCTTGTTATAAAAAAAGCACGTTTTTTTTTTTTTATATATATACATATATGTGAGCACGTGCCTTTTCTATAGTTTTCTTTTCATCTAAACTTCCCACAGATAGTTGCTAAAGGCCTAAATCAGTGCGAATTCTATGCCGCAAAACGCCACTGCAACCGCGTTTGCTTTTCACCGGAGATGACAGTCCGATTACAGTGTTTACGTGGTTGTGTTATCTTTCCATTTTTTTATTTGCGCGACTGTGCAGGATTGTGCCCGGTTAGTCTTCTCATCGGGTACAACATTGTACGATAACTCGGACATTTAAATCCGTGCTGCTGGGACAGATAATGCCGGAATGACGCGATTTTTCAACCGTGTTTGCACGCCAGCCGAATGTTTGGTCGTCGGAGCAGACGCAAGCAGGCGACGCGCTGGGGTGAAACGGGAGAAGGCATTTATCTTTCCACTACACGAAGTTCTACACACTGGAAGCACACGAAGTGCTGCTGCAAGGAAGACGCGTGTACTGAGCGCAGGATGCTGCACGCAGGACTCCACCATTTTAGAAATAACGGGCGCCAACTGGCAAAGGACGGGGTTCGAGTATTCTCAGGATGAAACAAAACGGGCTTGGGAGGGAGAGGGTGTAGAGAGTCTTAGAACGAACTTGGGGGGCATGAAGGTAAGCCGGGATAGGCACAAAAGGAACTTTGGGGAGCCCAGTCTAGGTCAAGAAAAACACAAGTTTTGCGCGTTGTTCAGCAACGCTTTTGACCTTTGAAACGTGTACGCGATGCGACACTGTTAGCGCGAACACGACATCGGCGCATTTTCGCATTTTACTTCTTAATAGTATTAGCGAGCACGAAATTTTATAGCTTACATTATAGAACCAAATGAGCTCTTTCCGTAGCAATAATAACTTGAGTGACATCCCTCGGTTTCAAAGAAAAAAACTGGAAAAACCGGCGATCGCTTGTTCGCGCTAACAGTGTCGCGCACTGTACGTCTTGATAAGTTAACGTACATGCGATCGAAAATGCACCAACATATATCTTAATTATCAAAGGGGGAAATTAGTAATGCTCCGCGATGAGCCGGACTTTTTTTTACTGCGGTTCTTGAGGTGAAACCGAGTATAGGGAGTATTCACCGGACGCCATCTTTGAGGGCGCTGTTTAGAGCGCGTGCTTAGAACGAGCTCACATTAGTAGGATACTAAGACCGGCAATATTAATGGCATGGAATGCACGTTGCAAAAGAACTGTGCAAGCTCGCCTTTAGCACATGCTCAGCAGTTGCGCACACAACTATTGCCGCCCGCCGAATACTTCCTATAGCGTTCTTAGTCAAGGGAGTATACCCTCGCTCGTTTGAGTACGTGCTCACGTATTTGCAGACCAGAACCTCTTGAACCGGCGATTTCCGAGCACGGATCATAGGTTTCCTTGCTTGCTTCCAAGCTCGCCCTCTACAGCGCATGCAGGGAAACAAAAATATCTTCTAGGACCAAAGAAAATTCGGGTGATTCGTCCCCCTGTACTCCTTTCTGTTAAAGCAGCATGTTTTCATCGGTTGCATCTAGGGCGTCACATAACGTCTTCACCAGTACGACAATCACGTGGTTGTTGCCAGTATGGAAAACGTTGTAACGAAGATTAACGTCACGATGTCACATAAACAGGTAAATGGACGCCACACCCTGTCACGTGACACCGTGACACCCCAGTGTCACGCGACTACGTAAGTTGACATCACTGTCAACTTACGTACTCGCTGTGACATATGACGGCGTGATGTCACAACGATACGTGACATCACGTGATGTCACATGAGGCTGTTTTCGTTCGGGTACTTCATATGCCTTCACAATGTCGCGTAACACCACGGCTTAACTGATGTCACGTGACGTGATCACAGAGTCAGTGTCACGTGCCCACCATCCGCTAACTCTAGCGGAAAAATATCGTATGCCACGGTGCAAAAGCCCATGAAGTCTCATTTATTTTCTTACAATTTTATCTGTTGCACCTACAGAGCGTTCTCACATTACGTCATTCCGCCATTTTGTTGTTAAACTGAATGAGTGAGAAATGTTTCATTTATCAGAGAGAGAGAAAAAAAAGGTGTAATGAGACTTAGAAGCTTTTGTGCACAGCTGCTTTGAAGGTGTCCTGCGAATTTCAGAATACGCACTTTCAGCAGGCGCCTACCAGCTCATAACAACAAAATGGTCGACTTGATTACGCCAGTGAAAACGGCCTACGATCGCGGACGCCTTTCTGTGACATTTGAGAAGAGGTGAAAAGCGCGTGTGCACAGGCTTGATTGGCGCTCAGGATGCGCAAGCCAAGCGCACATCCGTCCATAGCTTTTCACTGCGTAGCCACATTCTTGACTGCAGCTACGGCTGCAAGTGACATTCCATTATTCATTTTAATAATAATAATAATAATAATTTTATCGCACAAATGCTTGGAAATGCGGGTCCGTCAAATGCCAATAGGGGCTTGTGGGAATGGACCCGGCAGCGGTGTAATGAAACGTCAAACTAGTCATTGAAAGGTATCACGCAAAATAACAATATAGGACAAAGATAATAAAATAATAATAATAATAATAAGTTTTATTTTCATCCGTTGTGATGGGGGACCCAAGGAAAAGACCTGTAATACACATATTTCTTGTCACGCGGGTGCTTATGCAGACGATCGTACGATGAACCGCTTTCAAATAAAACTCCCCATCCGACATTTTTTTTCTTTTTTTCGTCCGTTTTACAGGAATGTCCCCGCACCGGACCCGCCAAAAAACGCCTGCGGGGAGCCGGGTCCGGCATCCGGCTCAGACGGCTTTCAGCCCCAAAAAGCACGGTGTTGATAAAGAAGCCCTGCCCGTTCGGTCGGTTAACCGGCGCTCCTTTGCCACTTAAGCTGACAGTGCAGTGGAAGCTACATGCTGCTTTGACTAAACATACATCTAACGTTTGCCACGTGATCAGGCTCCCAGCCCTAATTACGCGCAGAAAGCGGGGTCAAGTGATGAAGGGGAGGCTGCTGATTGGTCGGAGAGTGCGTGTGTTCCTCCCTACTGTCAGCTTGGGATCTTTCTAACCGGCGCAAGCAGCAACCCCCACGTGCGTCACGTTTGCCAGGGGCGCCGCCGACAGCCGTCCCCCCCGTCGACAGCAGCAATCGACCGCTCCGGGGAAAGGGCGACGGGGGAGGAGGGTTCGCCTCCGTCTACTCCTCCGGCGTGGGATAGTGTCTCGCCGGTTGCTCTTCCCGCCGCCGTCGCCACTCCCGCAGCTTCAGCATGGGCGCCGCGGCTGCGTCCGTGGCTCGCGCCCTCCTCCAGGGCCTCAAATCCATGGCCCGCGACGTGCTGGCCGTGCTTGCCGTGGTCGCCTTCTTCCTGACGCCCGTGGCCGCGCTGCCCTACACGCGGGCCTACGTTCCCAACACCTACACGCTGTCGAGCTCAAACTGCTCGGCGTGGGCAATGCGCCTGCTCAGCTGGGTCCTGCTGCTGCCCGGCACGGTGTCCGTGTTCCTGGTGCTGTTGCTGGTGCCACCGCTCTGCATCCCGCGCCGCTGGAAGTACCGCGCCGTCGTCGAGAACTACAAGGTGGGCCCGCAGACGCAAGTCCGGGTCCAGTCGCCCTTCTTCGACAGGCAGTACCGGCTCTAGACGGTGAGTCAGCCCCCATCCGCGGGACCCGCCGGTGTGAACCTTCTAGAGAAGCGCTACGATCGTCACTTGGAAAGACCTATCACCATGGCTGGTGGTCTTGAGAGCCCTTATTCGTTGGCGTCCAGAGCACTCAGAGTTTACAAAGTGTTTCCGCCGAGCGGGGGCGAGCCGTGCGCGTCACGTTGTCGTGCCGGCGCTGTCATTTCGCCGGGTTTGCCGGTGAATCGCCGGCTGCTCGGAGGCGCAGCAGCCAGCCAGCCGCGCGCTGCTTTGGCACGGGACCAACCTGGCCAACGAGACCTGTCGTCCCCTTCGCCTTCGTGTGAGAGATCAAAGTTACGAGCCTCAAGCAGGCCGGAGGTGACAATCGGAGGCTCTGTTAGCGGAGGTAAACTACGGTTGTTCATCGGGGTTGTTCTCAGTCTTCTCCTCTTGAACGTCACCCTTCATTCATTTGTTGAAGGGGGTTGAGGGCTACACCACCAGTTGCTTTTGAGTCTTGATGGCACCCGCTTGTCGTAGGTAATGGCCGTCGGCCAATGCGGCCAGTTTCAATTACCCCCTTAGTTAAAGTTTATTAACCTTCGGTTATGCGAGTATTCGTATTTGTAAATTTCAGAATCCATAAATTTTGTCCCGACTGTTTTTAGGGGAGAGCTTACGATTACTAGTCTTTTTTTATTTTATTTTATTTATTAACGAAGTTCTTACGAAATTCGCGAATGGGGGGAATTCCAAGACACGGGCATCTAAATTTGTTCCACCGTATCGAGTTGCAACGCTGTCAGGCAAAGTGCATTTCGCATTCCCGCTTGGATTCACAAGAGGTGACGTTTGGTGGGGAAACGTTCAGAGCTTGTCTTCAGGTGGTATTGTGTAAACCCAACGAGGACGCACGTCCGCGATCTCACCGTGATGACGTCCCGTTCGAGTTATCAGAATACTTCGACGATTCTGCTGCTATGTTATCTCTGATCACTGGGTTAAGGGTCTGCACCTGTCACGTTGGCAGCTTTCCCAGTGATAACCTCTTTCGCTCATGATAACACTTACGCTACAGGGTATCTTGCTGAACTTGTAGTCTAAGTTGTTTGCCGATAGCCAAAAGAGGACTCGGCCAAAGTTCAGTGCGATATTCAAATCAGGGAAAGTCGTGCATATCAATAGATACTTTTTTCTAGATAAATTTTGTGCATTGATCGTAGACGACCTTATCAACGTTTGCATGCGACGAGTAATCGTGGATGTTTCAGCATAGAGCGTTATGTGTGGAAAGCCAGGAAAAATCGCTAAAAATAAAAGAATGGCTCGCTTGGGGCATCATGCCCAGCACGAAGAATGATTGCTCGAAATAACGGTGCCACTGGCGCATAACTCTACTGCAAGATAAAAAGTTGTTTCTTTATAATGAAATTAAATGATCAGTTGGTAGGGCGCTCAACCTGTAATGGAGAGGTCCCGTGTTAGGCGCATCCAGTCAGCTAGCTGTGTTTGGAGATTTGTGTTTGTCCTTTGTCCCTCTTGTTCCCCTTCTCCAGGGATTATTTTCTTCATTCTTGTCCAGCTCGCTTTCACCTTTTCATTAAATTGCATTATAATTATAACCTTAAAATGCAAGCTTCACCCTTGTTAGTGTTAGACTGATGGCAGCTGACAAAATGGGAATGCCAACTCTGTGTGAGTAGACCTTGAGATGCGGGATCTTGCATTGCACGCGCGTCATTGTTGACTCAACCTGTTGGAACTCACAGGAGTCAGTCTTCAAAGAATATATAAGAAATATCTGCAAGTAGAAAGAGTTTTGTTTTTGCCCTCTGTGCAAAATAGGTGTCGGGACAATAAAACAGTTCCCAATCCGGCATCTGCGCGTTGCGCGCAGATGCTAGAGCGGGGACCGTTCTCTTTTTCCAGATTTCACCCGACACTGAAATTAATATTAATTTTAATTTTCATATTTTGATACGACACTCAATTCACAATATCAACTTTAGGTACTGTATATTCATAGCACCAACGACAGTGAAATGGAGCGAACCAGCGGAGCACGATTACACAATGCTTGGTCAGGTGGTCGGGTGCCACATTTTGTAGTATGTCAAAATGGCGGGGAGAAAATAAAACGGTACAAAGAGGACACAGAGAGGAGTGGAAAAGACATGCAAACACGGCGGTGTTTTCCACTTATCCCCGTGTCCTTTTTCTGCGCTGTTTTGTTTATTCTCATAATGCACTGACTCGTAATCTGCGTTGTCACAAGCACACGAGAGTACTTCAGGCAAAGACAAATGACCGTCACCTTCTGTCAGCGAATCGTAAACAGATCGACAGTCGGCTACAATAAGAACTTTCATAATGGTTGGTGGTAGTACTTTACTGAGTGTGAGGTTCATGGCGAGGAATTCCGTTTCACAGATCGGGGGGTAATCACAGGTGAACGTACGGGAAGGGCGTAGGCGAGGAGACGTAGGCGCGGAATTTCTGGTTTGCTACTGATTCATAAATTGCGACGATCAGGGAGTTGCCGAAAGACTTAAGGGGGGGACCTTACAACATTCCTACGTTCATAAAAATATTGAGGACGGTGTCTCGACTTTAATTGAAGAGACCCAAAGGTGCAAATATACACTCAAGAGTTTTCGGTAAACTAAAAATTCACCAATTCGACAGTTTTTTTCCTCTCTATTCTTACGTTTTTATTATACGATGTAGCTGCATTTTGCAAACTTTCTAGATCTGATTATGCTCTCTCACGAGCCTAAGCACACGCCGCATAGACTCGTGTAATGGTTTTTATTTGTGTGAATGTGAGATTTCTGACTAAATTAAATATAATTGATGTTTTTATCATTAAAAAAATTATATATATCTTGAAATTGGATTTCTGGACGCCTCCGTGGCAGGGCCGTCTTGGCAAGGGATTCGAAGGTTCTTCGGGACTATCCAAGGGATAACTTGTACTACACAGCGCGACACATTTAGCGCAAATGCAAAATTCAGCTCATTTTTTAATTTTCTTTTCTTTATGTAACGTTCTAGTTTTGTTGCACGAAGTTTTCATGACGATCTCTAAACTAAGAATGAAACGAGGTAAAACCGGCCGTTGCTTATTGCGCTTTCTACATTTTGCTTCATAAAAAATTACCTCAAATGTATAGGGATTTGAGTCTTGTTTTTTGCACTACGCTCGACGAGCACAGCTCAGCAGGATACTTCGTTTGTACGGGAACTCGCGCGTAAAAGTCGCATTTGCAAAGAAACGCACTCGCGCCTGTGTACCTTTGTCAACGAGAACGCGCCAAGAGCCCGCCAAACGCGACGCCGCGGCCACGATATCGAGCCTGTTAAAGCCGGTTCAGACACTTGCGTTTGAGTGCGTTTGACTGTGTTGAGTCGAGAACCGAAAGCGAGTCACCGGCACATCTGTGCTTCGTATGAAGCGTGGAATCCAATTCAAGGAATCGTCTTGGCACGCGATATAAGCAGCAGGGATGTCCTGGTTTCTCGCTGCCGCAACGCAGTCAAACGCAACTGTCTGAACCAGGCTTTAGAAGATCAGCAGTTCCGTTCCTTTCTTGTCCAGCCGCTATCACACTACTGATGCAGCCATGTCTCGTTAATACCCGTTAATCTGTGGACAACATTTTTTCGGAACTAACTGGATAAACGAATTGCCTTTTCGTCTCCTTATTATAGACAACACACATTACTGTCGCTTCTTGGTGGGAAGTGGAGGGGTCCGTATTAACGAGGTATCAATGTATATATCTTACAAAAGACGGTCTGCGAACGCTGTCTGCAGCCATGTTGGTAAAACGTACGACACAAACGGGCTTCGAACATGCTTTAAGGCGTGTCCACGATGTCTGTAAAAAACACCGCGTCTTTTGTCTGCGGCTTCACGGAATGTTGGAACGCGCGAACCGTGCACCGCAGCAGTGCGCGGCCATCCCCCCGGCAGTGCGAGACTCCTCGAGCCCACGATACGCTCGGTGCACACGGGCCTCCAGAAACCTGTTGGTGCGCTGATTCCTTGCTCGCCAACTTGGCAAACTGTGGAAGGTATACGGCCACCGTAATAATCCAGTAAGCGCGTGTCACGTGACAGGCTCACTCCGCGGCAGCGCGTATCACTGCGGGGTGCCAGAGGCGCGGGTCGGAGGGGCTATATACGTCTGCTAAACCGATACAACCTGCAAGACGAAGCCCGCGCGCGACATGATCGTTAACGCGCTGAAGATCGACGAGGGTCGCAGCAAACCGGACAGACGCGTCCGTCTCGGCGTCGCCGCGTGAACACCCCGCTCGTTGAGGGGAGGCTGCGAGACGCGCTGGTGACGATGCTCTCGCAAGCTATTCGGAGAGCAAGTAGTCTGCCTCTTGCGCAGGTGGTTGCGCTGACGTCAGAATGACGCCGAGTTCTGATTGGCTTTGATTGAAAGAATGGTGTGTAGACCGCAGTGCTAGATGCCTTAAGGGCTACCCCACTTTTTTTTTTTTTTTTTTTTTTTTTTTTCATCGGTTAATAAGAGCTCGGCGTTCTGACACTACGCAACTTTATATGCAAGAAGCAGACGGAGTTTTGCTACGTATAGGCGGCGGTGCGTAGATCGGCTAATGATGACGTTTGGGAAGGGAGAAAGAGACAGACAGGCGCAGCCCTTTTTTTTTTTTTTCAAAGTTCTAGGTGGCATTGGCTGAACTCCGTTTTGACATAGCCATACATAACGTGTGACGAAATGCCGTCAGTCACTACCAAGCGCTCGTACCAAAAAAAAAAAATGCTCCAAAACAGAAAAGAAAAAAAAAAAAACGTTGTGGGCCTATTGCTTAGTTGTGTATGACCCTAAAGGGGTATTCCCACGGGACAGAAATCCTCGGGGGGATGTGCGTGATGTCGACGTCAGGATAGCTAGGTTCGACATTGTACATGTACCTTTTTTTAGTACACGGAAGTGACGTCATCACGTCTGATTGGTTCGAAACAAAAGTGACGTAATTTC